AGGGTAGGACAAAAGATGTCATGCAAGTTCTTTCCATAAGCACGTATGACTATTTACGGAATACATGTCTACATTATACTCCCTACGTTCCAAAATACATGACCCAACCTTGTACTAACTTTGTACTAAAGTTAATATAAAGTTGAGTCATCTATTTTGGAACGGGGGGAGTATCTATGAACTGGAGCTAGTGCCGCATCGCCCTACGTTATGACTTTCTCATGATGAATATCATCCAATGAATCACCGATCCAATGCCTACGAATTTACCTTATATTGTTCTTGCTAAGGTACTACTACTGCTACTGCTATCGTTACTGCTACAAAACCATTGCTATCACTGCTTACCGTTACTGTTTCTGCTACCATTACTATCCAAACTATCATATTACTGTGCTACTGATCACTTTGCTCCAGATAATTAATCTCCAGGTGCGATTGAATTGACAACTCAGCTACTAATATTTGCAAATGTTCTTTGGCTCCCCTTGTGTCGAATCTATAAATTTGGGTTGAATACTCTACCCTCAAAAATTGTTGCGATCCCATATACTTGTGGGTTATCACTAGGTCTCCAATTTCTAACAATATCGATGCAAAAACCAAATGAGAGTCGTGGTGAGTGGTCCAGAGGTTCAGCACCATCAAGTAGTTAGTCTCCACTATGACTTTTGCGGAGCCCTTGAGCTTTGCAAAAATCAATCCATCACGCATGGCTAGTGTCTCAACAATCATCGAATCAAATATCACCATCATGGGGCTTGCGCCACACACCAAGTAGGGTTGTTGGCGAGCGAGCAATAGCACTAGCACCATCCTTATTTATGTCAATGCTAATTCAGTATCGGAGTCGGCTTTTATCCAGCCTTGTTTTGGAGGGTGTCACCCATAACACGACAGAACAAATCAAAGGGCAAGGTATATCAATATAGGCAGATCCGCCCCAATGTGCTGACAGAGTACACTGGACCAGGATGGTCTTCTTAATGTGTCCATTTATTCCATGAATCACATAACAGAAATAACCTTAGCTTCTTCATGTTCTGTGAAAGAACGTCTACCACATAAAATATCTTGTGACCATGGATCTAGATGAAGTCTCGGTAAAGAAAAATCAAACCAAACTTCAGCTTGGCAAGTGAGCAATGGATCAATAGTTTTCATTCATTGTTAGGCATACTTCGCATATGCTTAAAGGTTGTATTTGATGGTGTTTTAGAGTGCATCCATCCGAAAAAATCCTTCTAATCGCACGCCATCGAAACACACATATTGTAGGCGTTACCTTGAGCTTCCATAAGGATGGCCAGATATGCTTATCCGTCTGTGAGTTTTCAATCACCGTCCCTTCATCCGGAGCATGCAACTCTTTTTGATTCATCATAGCACATGATACGGAAAATCCCATGGACATCACCATGTCAAGTGCCCATCATCAAGAAAGACGCACAACATATACTCCATACATGTAAAGGTGAATCTTCTTCTTTACGTGTGTTTACTTGGCACTCTCAAAGATGGTATACTGCTTGACCCTCCTCCCTTGTGCATGTATAGGTAAGCGGTGCATCACATGTGTTGAGGAGGACTTCAAACACAAGAGTATGACTACACCGTCCAAGAGGGGAGCGTGAAAGCGATGACGGAAGAAGAGGGAGCAATGGAGGTAGGGGTGCAAATTTTGCACTCCCGGAAAGTCGGGTGAGCGCCTGCCCACTCCCCAACCTTCTGTTGCCACCAGACTATCTATTAGAGAGGGCTAGACCCAGGCGCCACCGAAGCATGCACTACCGGACTACCCGGTCCACCTTGACTAGACTATCCAATACCATTATCTATGTGCACTTTGGGAGGGGGGTGACCCATGTATCCCCTCTCTCACCCCTCACTCATCCCTTCATTGGTGAAACTATATATACACCCCCCCCCCTCAGATCTAGGGTTAGCAAAGATTAGAGACAAGAGCGCTTTTTCCATCTACCCCCTAGTGGGATTCCTCCATTGGATATGGCTCCTCACAGAGAACAAGACCTCATGAGGGAGAAGACTCCGAGGAGTATCAAGGCCACCTATTGGTGAATATTCCTCTAGGAATATCAAGCCCTCATTGTCTTAGGACTTGCGGAAGAACCTATCGTGTTCCATATATCTCTCTTGGACGATTTGGATCAAGAATATGTCTATGTGCATATTTTGTTGCATCTATGTGTGTTGATTTGTGTGTTTCCCTTGTGTCTCCTCTCGATTTCCTCCGTGTTACTTCTCAATGCACGTCCAATTCGTGAAGATCAGGCAACCTATAAGTTTTTCCATACATCAGCATGATACACTTATTTTGTAGAGTAATCACCCGATTAGCCCAAACTTAGAAAACATCTCCAAGACTGGTACACAAAGGAATGTTGAGTATGGCATCTACATCTACTAGTAAGAATATGACACAAACAAGCTCAGTATGACATGTCCAGTTGGTCTCAGCAATCAACTCGATGACCCATTGGATTGGACAATTTTTTTTGAGAGTACGCCAACGGCGTACCATAATTTTATAGAAGAGAGAGTTAACATAATTACAAGAAACTTTAAAGGGATGCGAACATCCCCTCAAGTTAAAACCCACTCAACACCTAGCTATCCAAAGGGCTATTCCCTCACGAATCGTTGAAGGCCACCAACTCCAACACCTTCCCGTCGCCATCCCGCAATCTCTTCTAAGATGAAGCATCGAAGACCATATGTTATTTTGACTTCGTTCGTCCGGTTGAACACACGTGCATTGCGTTGCTTCCAGAGTGCCCGAGCCATAATGATGGTAAGAGTATCGAAACCACGCGGGTCTCCGGAAAACCTTCCTCACACGCAGCCACCAATTGATAAACGTGTCATGCTGATTTGGCCTTTGCACGTCCAGGTTTAGCATGCCTAGGCAACATTCCCAAACCTCTCATGCGTACATGCACCATACCAAAATGTGGTCGACGTTATCTTCATCTTGCAAACATGTATAACAAGGGGAGGGCTGGTCTTGCAGACCGTGCCTCGCACGCCTGTCCGAAGTCCATACGCGATACTGGGCGGCCAACTAGGTAAAAAGCTTGCACTTGAGGGGCGCCCAACTCCTCCAGATGCAAGTGGCGAATGGTGATCGAGTATGGCCCAGGCAGAGCCTCTAATAAGTCGAGCGAGCAGTGTAAGAGCCAGATGTATCACTAGGCCACAAGAAGATGTCTGTGCTCAGAGTGTCTCTATGAACTGTGTTGATGACATGGCTTAGTTGCATCAACTGCATGTGCGCCGTAAAGGTCAGATCTCCAGCCACATCTTGCGTAATTGGATTGGACAATTAGCCGGTCATAGCATAGGAGACGTCCAAACAGTCCCCAGAGTGAATTTGCTGTTCCAGTCCGAGATTGTGGACCAGAACTTCCCGTCCTATAATTATTGTTCGTCATGTGAGGCAAGCAGTCTAAGGTGTTGCGTTTTTGCATAAAATCAGTTGCTCGGAAGTAACGACTATTCATTACTTTGTCGCAAAGAGACGTCGGTTGCGTCATGAATCTTTAGCCATGTTTCTTGGGTAAAGCTAAGGTTGAAAGTTTCTAATTCTCGAAAGCTTAAGCCATCATTACTTTTGGAGCTGTGAGTGTGTCCTAGGACAACAAATGAAGGGATCTTCTATCTAAAGAACTACTCCACTGATACTTAGCCACAACAGAAGTAATACTCTTACAAACCTTCTTAGAAAGTCGAAAGCAACTCGGGCCGAAAGCCGGAATAGCTTGGATCATGCAGTATATGATTTCAAGATTAAGGGAAATAGTAAATGCAAGGAATACGATACTAGGCGATGGAGAACTAGCCGGAAACAATGTACAACCACAACCAATAGGAACCCTCCACGCGCTATAATTACCTCCAACAAATTTGTGGGCAACCAAACATGATGCAAAAACATGACCCAAAGCGTACGTTAACCCAACGAGGTTGCACTTGACCACAAATGCAAGAGGCCCAATGTCGATGCAAGCATCCAAGCACACTCTTAATGGACGGACTCCCATGCTTGAAATGCAAGACCCGGACCAACGCTCGTTGCTTAACGTGGATGCTTTCTCGACAAAGGGGACCTACGACGCCCTTGCGGCACATTTGGGACGCTAGAGTGCCCAGCAGGGTCCGGGTGTTTGGTTGGCTGTTCTATCTAGACGGACTAAACACTCGGGCAAACCTCCACCGCGAGACCATCCTCGACTCCCCATCATGCCCCTGATGCCACGCTGCGCCGAAAAACAGGGCTCACCTGTTTTTCAGCTGTCCAGCCTCCGCTGCTATCCGTTACCGTTTTCATCACTACCGGAGTTGTGGTCCTCATCATGCCGACCGGGGCTGCCCACTTCTGTCTGGCCATTGGTTCTCCTTCTAGTCTTGTGGAAGGTTTGGGATGCTTGAAACGCGGCTACTTTTAGAGATGAACACCTCTCTCCCGCTGATTTAATCCGCTCTATAATCTCGGACCTCACTATATATAAGCAATGAAGCAGTGACAAACCCGGTGTGATTGGAATCCCAGTGTTCACAAGATATCAACAATAAACTGAGATTGGAATACAAGATTTCCCTGCTCCAAAGATCGTAAGAACATTTCTCTGAAAACCCTACGAATCAAAGGGGTAGAAGCAATTGCATGGAGCCACGAGGCAGCCCTGAACACATATATGAGGAAGGTCTACGTTTTCTCAACACAGAAACAGAAGCCCAACCAGCAAAACAATCTCCCCAGCAGATGATACTCACAAAACTAGCATTTTACCAGCAGGGCCATCTTACAGTTTCACAGCATATGCATGTGTGTCGCAAAATTGTAAAACCATTGTCTAGACGGAAAGGACACGGAAACTGTACACCAGGAAACTATCATGCAACACATAAGACACACAAGCATGGCAGTACAGATATATAAACCATGACAAGCTGGCTCTGTTCTAATTCTGTAGCATGGTTCAACTGCCATCACCAAGAGCTTGTACTTTCTTCTCGAGCTCAGGTTTGTTGGCGCCGACGAGCTTGTCGATCTGCTGGCCGTTTTTGAGGAAGAAGAACGTCGGGGTTGCACGGATGTCCCATGTTGAGCTGAAATCCTGCAGATCATCATAAGGTGAATTACTAAGGTGGGTCAACACTGGAAGCATCAGAACAACCCGCTGTTAATCACAGAGTTATCAACCAAACATGTTATTCACGGAGCTATCAGGATGACAAAAACACTCCACCACACTCCATACAATTGACAGTAACAAATACTCCCTCTCTAACTTAATATAACACGTTTTTTTGACACTGTCATGGACTCTAAAAACGTCTTGTAAGTTACAAAGGGAGTATTTATCTGTTTGCATACTTCTTCGAAACAGGAAATGGCAAGATGAGAAGTTTTGGTACTGCATAATTTGAAGTTCGGCTGAAAGGTTTGTGAGTTAACAAAGCGGCGGTAAATATTCAGGGTTTTAACAGTAATGGTTATAGAAACTGACTTAGATGTTCAACTGGACTTTTTAGGGTCATGTAACCTGTACTGAATAAATAATTCAAACAAATGGAAGATGGAATTACCATTAGGTCATCAACATCAATTGTCAAGAACATGAGTTGAGGATAAGTCTTGGACATCTCGGCATAAACAGGTGCAATGACACGGCATGGCCCACACCACGAAGCACTGAAGTTTGCTACAACCTACAAAAGAAATCGACGAGTACATCAGATGCAACTCCAGAAACTGCATCAAGAATTGTTAGTTGTTCACATATCTTGCTACTGGACTCCTCAGCCAAAAATAAAATGGTCAACATAAACACTGGGCTTACAGCGTATGGTTTTCATGTTCTATCATAAAAACAACAACTACCCGTGTATATTCCAGGATTTCAGTGGAAGAACAGTTACAGGGAAACTCCCTCTGCTAAGGAAAACATCCCCTGAACAGAATTTCTTTTGTGAGAAATAGTTTAGTTAACCTGTCCATGATTTCAAGTGCACAACTAAGAAAATAAACAAGCTCATAACCACCTTCATGTGTACACTTTCTGCTTGGGCAGATGGTTATACTATCTGCTTAGGTCTCTCGTAGAAATTTCTGTTTCATTTCCACATTCTCATCAATGTGTTCTCTTGCAGGAACGGACTTATTTTACAGGCTAACAAGGGGCGTGGTGGAATTAGTGTGTGGAGACAGACTTCTTAGACCTATTCTCATTTCATATATGATGTAACTGATAGACATAAACACCAAGTAGTTTATACCAAACACTATAAGAAGCAAAGGATATCTGTAATCCACTGTAACAAATTGCTAGTTTGCTTACAATTTTCCCATCCTTGTTTGCTTCTTCAATCTTCTGGTCCCAGTCCTCTTTGGTTGTTATGACATGCACATTTCCACCTTTGAAATCAAGCTTTTCTTCCACAATGCTACGACCCTGACCAAAAGAGGACAGAAGGATTACATAAAAATTACTTGGGAGTTCAAGAACAAAACACATATACGGTAAGGCTGGTCACAATGGGGAGGAACTTAGGAGTAACATCACACACTCCAATACAACTTTGCTTATGTGGCACATATTTAATGAAGAGAGAGGTGCTTGTGGTAACTAGCTAAGTTACCGGAACATCACACACTCCAAGAAACAATGAGTCTATAACCTAATAAATACATCGTTGCATGACACTACATAGATGTTCCTACCCACTATGGAGATAGTAACATAGTCTAGGGAAGTGTGTAAGTTACTAGCTTATGTTCTTGCCCATTGTGACCAGCCTAACAGACACGGACTCACCTTGCCCACACAGCCCCCCATCGTGAACTTCAGTGAAAGGCCCCCTGGTTCCTGAAGGCCTAAACAATAGTAAACATGGTCTATCAGAAGGAAACTGTGTTTATAAATTGTGACACTAAAAACAATATGGAGACGTTGCACGAACAATAATTTCAGCAAGGTATTTACTCCATAATGGACATAGCAGTATAAGGAGAGTATTTTTCTCCCAGCTGGATGCGAGGAACTACCGCTACGTCGCTTTGCAGTTGTAATGAGCTACGCTGGCCGTGTGCGCATCTCCGGATGCAGAGGCCGGAATTCTTCCATAATCTAAAAAAGAACCGGGCAAGAACCTGAACCTGATTTAAACTTAAAAAAAGCATAATAACCTAGGAGCTGGGGGGAAAGAAAGCATCCCCACACAGGCACCCGCACACAAAAATCCAGTTGTCTCCGCTCCCTTGCGGATCAAGAATCCATGAAGAAGAATATCGCAGGCATACAATTCGCGGCCAAGAACTGCATCGGACAAATCGAAGCCGACCAGATCAGCGAGAGGATTTACCTGGGATCGGAAGCGGGGATTTTGGCGCCAAGGAGCCCAGAAGCCGCGGGGCGAGGGGGCGAGGTGAGGTCGGAGGAGACGGAGAAGATAAGCCTGGCGGATCTCCTGGCGGGCAATTAAGAGGTTCTTTAACTGGGTTGGATTGATTGATTAACGTAACGAAAATACTAACGCCCACACGTGTGAGCGTTACCCAACTCGCCCACACGTCCGGATCGCCATTCACTGTCTTTTGCACGAATCTTGACACGGAAAGGTGGATTTGGTGTGCCACGTAGGACGGGGCTGGTGTGTGGGCGTTGGAGATTTTGCCCACACGCCCGCACCACGCTGTTTGCCAGCTGCGTTGTAAGGGCGAACTGCTTTTCGCCCACACAGCCACCACTAGGTCATGCGCTTGTGGGCGAACTGCTTTTCGCCCACACGACACTCCTACCTTGTGGATGGCAACTGCACTTACGTGAACGTGGCAACTCGGTACACACACATGGCAACTGTGATTCTTTACTACACGGCAACTGCAGTTACGCGAACGTAGCAACTCGGTACACACACATAGCAACTGTGATTCTTTGCTACACAGCAACTGCAGTTACGTGAACGTGGCAACTCGGTACACACACATGGCAACTGTGATTCTTTGCTACACGGCAACTGCAGTTGCGCGTACGTGGCAACCAGATAAACATACATGGACACTGTGATTAACAATACATGGCAACTATGGTTGGACCACACGTGACAACTAGGTAAACACACATGGTAACTACTGTTTTGACCATATGTGGCAAGTAGTTAATCACACACGGCAACTACGGTTTGATTACACGCGACAACTACCATAAATTAGACATGTCAACTATAGTTAACCAAAACAGATAGAGTTGCCATGCTTTTACAACTACACTTGCCATCCCAAATAACTATATCTGCCAACCAGGATGGCAACTAAATCGTCATCCTGCGAGGTACCAAACGTAGCTGTGTCAGGACGTGTGGGCATTTTTGTTTCGTGCCACACGCACGGGGTGGAGATGAGTAGTATTTGTTGGACGTGTGGCACGAAGTAGCCGCGCCCACACGTATGAGCAATTCTAATGTCCGCACACACACAACCCGTGTGAGCTGCCTCCTACTCACACCATATACGGCGTGTGGGTGCATGTCGTATATGCCATACGTGTGGCAGTTATGAGCGTCCTAACGTAAAAGGGAGAGCTCTCCGGACTCCGGTGGTGTGGGTCAGTGGGTCGGTTGGGTCGTCTGGTGGTCGTAGGTCGCACGCTCGCCGCCGCCGCAGCGCGGTTTGATTAATCGGAGGAAGAGGAGGAGGGGTGGGGGATTGGCTTGCTTTTTTATTGCTGCTGGGGAGGATGAGGGGGGGCCGGAAAGGGAAGGGACGTGGAATATTCTGCGGCCGTGCTATGCTGGGCTTGTGCTTCTGGAGGCGACGACGACGACGACGCCGCCGACCTGGATGGATCGACCGGCCCGTCCGCTCCCGGCCGGCCGGCGTGAGCGAGCCCGTGACGCGTCTCGCGTCGCACACCACTTGGCTGGCGCGGCTCGTGCCGTGTGAGCCTACGGAAAGAAAATGCCTTTTCTGCTGCCGGAAAATGGTCTTATTTGCCTTGGTGGAGATCCGGCGACGTGGAGCTTTGGTGTTGCTCCGGACCGGACCTCACCTCCGGTGGACTGGCACGGAGACTGTCCTGCCGTTGTCTGCCTTGTGGCTATGAAAAATTCAGAATATGTATTCAGCGAATGCTTTTTTTTTACGGGCAACGGCAGGAGCACTTACAATTCATACTCTTAGAAAGGGGAAAGGGAGCCAAAGTCCCAAAGTATATTGTACAGAACAATGCCCAGGACCCAGCATGGGTTCAGGTAGAGCACACACAACTCTAAGAAGAGAAAAACTAGCAAAATACCGTAACAAGAAAATGAAATAGGAAAAAGGACGAAAACAAAATCCTCAAGAGACAGCCTCCCAATAAAGAGCAATCTCGTCTCTTGCCACGGCAGTGACGGTTTCAAGAGAACAACCTTTTTCCTTCAAAAGTTCGCCGATTTCTTTCCTTCCACAAGTTCTAAGCCACATATGCCGCAGTTGTGACCTGCTTCCTGCCACATATGACGTGTTCGAGGCAAGACTGGACACATTATTCAGCCAATGCTCTTTGGGTTGTCTTCATGTTTTTGTTTTTATTTTGTTTTTGGCCGTTAGATGGACCGTGCGCCACGTATCGAATCAACACTAAGGGCCTCTTTGATTCAAAGGATTTTCAAAACTATTTTGAAGGATTATAATCCTTAGGATTTTTTTTTCTACGATGGTCGTTTGATCCGTAGGCTTTTTACTCTCATGATTCCTTTGTACTGGTTTTAACTGCAAAATTTTCATTCGCTCCAACCTCATATTAAGAATTTTGCGTTTTTTCTACGTGAGTCAAATGTCCATACTAATCCTATAGGATTGAAGATGACCTATTATTCCATTCCTGTGTTTTTCCTATGAGAAAATTCATATGAGGTTACTAAAGTGGGCTTGGTGCCTTACTTTTTTTTCGAGGGTACGTCAATGGCGTACCTTAGCTTTATAGAAGGGAGAAAATATGCACAAGAGATTACAAATGCGCTAGTTAGGTGTCACAAGTCGACCCTAACCAAGCCTCCACACCACTCCCTCATTCTACCCGACTACTCTGATACTAGTTGTCCTCCAAACGCTCGTGTTGCGGCCTAGGTCCTCAGATCCTCGAAGATCATGCCCACCGTATCCCACTCGTTCTTGATCGGGCCCGAGCCGAATACCCTCGTGTTCCTTTGCTTCCATAGTGTCCAACAGATTAGCATCATGAATGTATCAAAACCTTTCTGAGTTTGCTTATATATTCGTTTCCTAGCTTCCGTCCACCATTGCACCAACCTTGAGTCGTTTGTTGGGCATATGTCCGTCGTCAAACCCATTCTAGTAATGCAACGGTACCACACTTGCCGCGAGAACACACACTGCTGCAATATGTGGTCAACCGTGTCCTCCTCCTGGTCACACAGGTAACATTTTGATGTTCGGTCTTGCAATCAGTGTCTAGCCCTCCTATCCGACGTCCACAGTCGGTATTGCACTGCAAGCCACATGAATATCTTACACGCAAATGGCGCCCAACGTTTCCATATGGCCCCGAAGGAGTGGAATCTGACTCCTCCCTCACACAGCATCTTGTATGTTGATGATGTTGTGTAGACTCCCGACATGTTCCAAGCCCAAATGGGGCAGTCCTCTATCTGAGCATCCAGTTGAACTTCCGAGAGGATCTCCCAAAGTCCGATGAACTGGGTTAAACCCTCCGTGCATAGGTCAACCACTATGCCGTTCATCCATGTATGCATGCACATAGCATCTCGTATCAGTCTCCCGTTTGCCACTTGCGTACGTACCGTCACCACAACCAATGGGGCTATATCTGTAATGGTTGCGCCATGTAGCCATCGGTCTTTCCAGAACAAGGTCTTGTCTCCCGATTCAACCCTCCATTTAACCAGGCTCCCAAAATCTTGGCCCACCTTTTTGTCCGCGGTCAAGTTGAGATCTTGCCAACGCCTAGATTCATCTGTGCGTCACAGCCATCCCCATCTTATCCGTAAAGTAATGCCATGCTTAAACAGGTCAATGACGCCCAACCCTCCCATGTGCTTTGGCCTACATACCGTAGTCCAGGATACAACACATTTGCCCCCATTCACCTCCTTTGTCCCAGGCCAGAAGAAGGCCCGACAGCCTCTATGCACTCTTTCCAGTGCCCATTTTGGAGCCTCCGCGATTATGAGGTCACGGGTGGCACGCGCCCTCATGACTTGGTTGACAAGGATAAGTCTCCTAGGTCTAGTCACTAGGCCCCTTTGCCATCCTGGCAAGATGTCTAGTGTTGCATCTACTATCGGCTGCCACTCGGATCTATTCAACTGTCTTATGCTTAGCTGGAGCCCTAGGTATTTGCACGGAAAGGTGTCAATCTTCCATGGCAGAGCAGACTTGACAAGCTCCCCATCCTCAATCTAGGCCCGGATCATGATTGCCGCTGATTTGGCAAAGTTCACTTTAAGCCCTGATGCCACTCCGAAGATGGTGAGAGTTTCCTTAACGAACAGG